CCGAAGCTCCTGCCAGCGGTGTGGAGGAAAGACATGACCTCATTATTCCACAGCCCAGATAATCCGTTCCTGGATAAAGTGAGAGCTGACAAGTGTTTCACCTTGAACATTATCAAAGCCCTTTCCACACTTGGCTGATGGCAGAGCCATTTTACCAAACAGAGATGTGAAAACTCCTCAGTGGTAGCAAAAGAGATAAAAAAAATCCCTGGGGTGCATGGTTAATGCCACACACACAGGCATAAGAGGAAGAGACCAGCAGCATTTCCAGAACCATTTAGGCAAACAGGATATATTTGCACAAGTTGATAAAATATTTTTCTCAATATATCAAGGGTTGCTGCTCTCAATTCCTTCCATCTATCTCAAGGCACTTTCTCAAGGTAAGTGCTGAGGGCCTCTACTGACATCAGCAGCCCCATCACCAACTCCAGAAAGGTAATTCACTTCTCAGCTGGGATAAATCACTGTCTGGACTACCTTCTAGTATCTTCCCAGGGTTTCCAAGTGTGATTCCACTCCCCTAATCTTTTAGTCAGAGGAACCCAAGCTTTAATGCCATGGATTTTACACATGCACACACAGACAACAGGCTAGCCTCCAATTTTGTTGGAAGGGTATCACAGAATCATTAGGTTGGAAATGAACCGTAAAGATCATCCAGTCCAGCTGCTGGGCCCACAATCAGTTTGAGCAATGGCTCCACGCTAGTCCAAGGGGAAGGAATGTCATCTGGTTGCCATTGCCGTCTCTTGCAACACCTGTGCTCTCGCTGGAGTCCTGCCACGCAAACACAGAGAGGGGCTCTCCCCCCTCATCCCTCCTGTCCTTGGCAGGCCAGTTAACAGAGAAAACACACATCTCCTTCTCTGTAAGGGCTCTGGAGCTGTTGGATTTAAGTCTGCATGGAAGAATGACACCATTTAAAATGTTTAACACAGAACACATAAAGCCCTAGTGAAAAGGCTCAGTGAAGTTTCCAGCAGAGGAGGTACACTTGCAGAAGGAGCAGATACAAACTCCAAGATCAGGAGGAGGTTTCAGCTGAAATATTTGTTTTCCTGATGCTGGCCTGCCAAATGGGCAAAACATGCCCAGCCACAGCAGCAATTCTGCCTTTTGCACCTACTACCTTGGAAAAGCTCCTTATTGAACTGCACACATTAATGTCACATGTGGTATTGTCTTCCATGCAAGGAAAAAAACCTATCAGCAAAAGATTTTGGGGCTCCTAGGAGATAAAAATTACTGGAATTCACTACAACTGCAGCAACAATATTAAATACAAAAAAGTCCCAATGTAAAACTGATTTTCCAAATGCAACTCTGCCCCCACTGCAAACCACTTCCTATGCTCCCGACTGCATCAGCACAGGAGAAATCCCAAGGCTCAGGAGTCGGAATGGAAGTACAGTTGGTTTTATCTCAATTTTGGGATCACAGGAAGCAAGGCAAGTTCTTTGTGCCTGCTTTTTACTAATTCTTTCAGGGCCTTTCACCAAGGTTATGACACCTTCCACACTCTTCATCTTTGAGGTCCAATTCCTCCCAAATTCTCTCACTACATGCTAGGATACCATCACCCCTGGACACCAGCATTTCTAGTGCTGGCAGCTGTGTTTCACCCATACATCAGCTGCTTTCTCTGGCAGAGCCAGAAACAACCAAAACCCTTCAGGGTCAGGCTCCTCACAGCCCTGACTGCAATAAGCAGAGACAGTTCTCCTGCCCACCAACCTGTGTCCATCACTGAACTTCATCTTCCTGGGCACTACAGGGCAAAACACCACGTTTGACTTCCACTTTTCCCCTCTCCATACCCCATCAGCAGAATCAGACTCCTGCTTCACCAGGAAACATCACTCCCAGCCTTCCATGGATGCTCAGTTCCTGGAGCATTGTTTGGCATGTGTCCAGCTTCCAGAGGGGAGTCACCACACTTTGACATTCAAAATGAGTAAAGAAGCTGAAAGGAAAGAGCCAGGATACAGAATCCACAAAAATCAGCTTTAAGGACATAATTTTTAAAGGGTTGAGAAGTCTAAATTCAATTATTTTGAATACCCAGCTTTGAAATAAATGATCTTTATTCTGTCTCTAATGTTTGCCCTTGCACCTGAGCTTGGTAAAGCTTATGTTCTGCTCTCATTTAGAGGCTGCAGGAAAATTATCCACAATAAACCTCTTTCTTTCTTCTAGGATTAAGAACTGTATATCATACTTGCAGTGTAAATCTGTTTTATGCATTAGCTAGAACACAGGACTGAACTTTTTTTCAAGTTAAGTGAAGACAATTCTGTGTTTTTATCATAAGTATTCTCCTGGTCATTTCTAGCCAAACTGTCAAAAGCCATTTTATACCATTTTGCAAGAGGTTGTTATTGGAGGAAAAAAGGTAGATTTTGTATTTAAACAAGTGTGCCTGAAATGTAGAAAAGTTGATTTAATGTTAACAATTCTGAGACTCAAGCAGTGTTTGGGCCAAAAACCATCTCCAAAAGATAAGAGCAGGCAGGAAGAAGACTGTGTTTCTATAAAACTTAAAGAAGTAAGCCTAGGAAGTCTAAGCAGCCAAAGAGAGGATGGGACAGAGATATTCTTCTCAGATGTCTCTGTTGAAATTCACTGAGCCTCAATCCTTTTAATTAAAATTAAATCTCATGGAAACACAACAAAACCCAGCAGAAGAGAGAGTGCTTCTATCTTTCAGTTGCTCTGCAACACAGAGGTGTTCAGGCTTTTATGGGCTCACACTGCAAGAGATCTGAGTGGGTGCCAAGGCACGAGGTGTTCAGCAAAACATGTTGTGAGGAGTCAGCTCTGAACAAAAACTTGCTCCTGTAAATGACAGGAGATGCTCCTGGAGTGCTCTGTCCTACAGTGCCCTCATCAGTAAGTTCCAACAAGAGGCTCAGGGTGCAACAGCTCTCAGCAAGTCGGATTATGAAAGGGCTATACTGCCCCTGTGTTTTGAGCAAAACCAAATTTTTGGTCATTTTCTGGAGTTCTGATACCAGGGTTTCAATTTGCTCATCCACAGTAGCAGTGATCTTTCTTTAGGAAAGAGACAGGAAATCATCATACTGGCAAAATGTTCCAAACAGAATTTTCTAGGAGCAACAGATACCTCCTGGGGACTTCACAAATTTGTCATTGCTTATTTTTTAAATAATATTTTACTTTTTTTTAAAAAATCAAATTCCACAAACCCAAGGATAAAAAGGGGAGCTTCCTACATTTAAAATCACTTCAGGCATATGGGTGTTTATCCAGAGATTTGGCACCCTGTGGATAAATGTGGCACCATACAGGTACAAGGATAAATGTTTGCAGGGATGGGTTTTTTCCCAAGGCACAAACAGCAGACATGAGCCAGCATTCTCTCCTAGTGTCCTAAAATTCAATGTGCAAAATTTCCCTCTGATGGCAGCAGGGTTCCACAAAGGGACAGGACAGCCAGCTCCTACCTGCCTCTCTTGTAGTTTCTCCGTTCACATTCACTCCTTGGTGCATGTTCCCAATAAACCTGAGCACTTCCCAAGGAATGGCCATCTAGTTTTAACACTCATCTGGAGCAGCACATAGTGTTATTTTTAGGCTACAAAATCACAAACAGAATTCATTATTGGCAGTCTCTCTTTCCTCCCTTCAAGAGCAGACACTGGAGTGAAGTGCAGGGGATAAAGGTATGGCATTTAATTTCTGGAAACCTCAAAAATTTAATGGTTATGATGAATGGTTCACATCCTGAGCTCTGAGCTGGAGTATGCAGAATTTAGAAAAGAAGGATAAAGTAGTTTCAGATGCAGTCTTGATCCCCAAGGCAACTCTTCCAGTTTATAATTTTCTTAATTCTCTCTGTCTGTTGGACTATTAAAAAGTCAAACAATGAAAAAAAGAAAAAACCTTATACACATCAGCTGAACGAAGTAAAGGACCCACTTTTCCTCATCATCTAATCCTTTACAGCAATAATAAAATTAAATGCTAATTACAGCAGCAATAGCTTAGAATGAGAGCAATAAAAAACCTGTCATTTAAAAATAGTAGATTTCTGTTTAAAAGCTACAACATGTGTACAGTGTGGAACTAAGTAAAGAAAGCAAAACCATAATCAAGGTGAAGAAATTACCTTTCTGTTGAAGTTTGTGCTGGTTTTGGTTTACCTTTCCCTCAACTCTTTATGTCTGGACTAGAAAAGCTCAGCCTTTCTGCTGTGGGGGAGAAAGCTGAATATTAGTTTGCTTAAGTGCATTTCATCCCAAGTGCAACAGCAGAGAGCCCACAAGGACTTGTCATCATTTCAACAGTCGATATAACAAAGAAATAACCTGAAGAGATTTTATCTGTCCCTGAAGTATTTTGTGGTCATTCATAACAGTTTTTGCAAGGAAGTTTTCTCATCCATTAATTAGGGTTCATTATGGATTTTAAGCAGCCAGCTTTAAATAATCTATTTTATCAACATTCATACTCATTTTGATGGAAACAAACATCAACAACAAGAAATTTTTGCTGACACCTGGTAGTGGGTTCAGGTTGGTGAAGGGCTGGACAGTTTTTTAAGGTGCCTACCTGCCAGCATGTCTAAGAAGGAGCTGGTGAAGACCAAAGATAAATGTTCGGCTGTAATCAATCAGGATGCCTTGGCTTTATCTCAGAAAGCCTGTCTGGCAGCTTTGCTGGAGATCATAAATCAAAAAATTCACAATAATTTTAAGCACTTTTTGTAATGAGGCCACTCACTGGGATGGTCCCTGGCACCAAACTGTGGTTGAGGCAGGAACAAATCAAGGCAATAATAGCATTTGTTGCTTCTCTCTTTAGGGCCAAGAATCCACCAAAATTCAGAATTTGATCTTTTGGGGATTTTTCGATACATGGATATACAGCTGAGATAAACTGACTTAAACCAGAAATCTGACTACCTCTAAAAGGCAGATAATACCACTGAAATGGTAAAATTTAAAGTTTAGGACAATGTCTATAACACTCAAAACTTCCACAGGGACTTTTATTACAGCAATTTTGCATTCAGTTAACTCCAGACACTCCACTTGCTCACAGTACAAAACTCTTTGGCTTCTGACAGCTTCACAAAGGAAATCTGCCATTCACACAGTGAATGGGGTATGTATTAATTTGCCTTTCAGAGCGCGTGCAGTCCACTTTGCTGCTGGTAATCTGCATAAAACTGGATTAACGAGTCGGGAATCCTCGGGCTCACGACCGTCAGCGCGCTCCGGAAGTGCCGGCCTGTGATAGATTTGGCATGGATGTCTTCCTGAAGAGCTAGAAGGGCTGCTTCCCTGCACACTGCTGTTATCTGCAAAGAAACAACACAAAACCAACCATACAGCATTATTATTATTATTATTATTATTTACATTACTTGAAGAAAGAGAACCCAAGAACATCAAATCACTCCAAATGCCAAATCATCACAAGTAGAGTTTTTCCAACTTTTTAAATTTTTTTTTAATAAATGAGGTTGTGGACAATTAGGATATCCAAAGAACAGGATGTAGCTCAAACTTCAAACCACAGTTACATTACATTTCACATTACAGCATGCTGCAAATTAACTCGCTAATCATATTACCTTGTGTTAAACTCCCCACAACACCTGATAAATTCAAATCCCAACCACCAGCGATACATTTTTCCATCCCCAAAGTGCAAGAGCAGATATTCCCAGGCTCTGCGGGCACTTTTCTTTCCCAGCCTCACACTGGGAAAGAAATAAAAACAATTAATTCCAAAAGGAGGCTCAGAGGAGAGGGGTGTGTGGAAGGGGAGGAAGGTTAAGGTCTCATACCCTGCAATGTGTTTTTAAGCTCTCTGGACTTCAGACAGCGGAAACAGACTGATGCCAGTGTCACTCTAAAGACACATTACTGTGGTGAAAGGAGCTTGTGGAATGAAAAGAGATATTGTGATTTCCAGTGCAACAGGGAAAACAGTGATTGATATTGACTGCTCCCTTATATCTGTAAATGAAAGAGCCAACTGAAACACATTTGTCCGGCTATTCAGCATATTTTCTCTGTTTGTTCACTTACTGAAAAGAGTTCCCTCGCTTATGCTCTGCTAATGGTTGCCAAAGCCGTTTAGTAGCTTTTTAGGGGATTTAGCAGCATGTTTAGGAAGCTTTCACAAGAAAACATGCATGGATTTAGATGGCTTTGTCAAGTTACAACAATATTACTATTAGTTCTGTGCTGCTCTAATGAGCACCAAAGCTAAACACTGCTGTTACGCATTTTAATGCTTTTCAGGACTTTAGAGACAGCTGAACGTGGAAGCACAGCTGAGATTTAGTGCACCAGCTTCTTGTGGAGATCAGTAATACATCACCCAGAAAGTTAACAGAGAGGCCCTGATCCTTCTGTGCAATTTTTTCTCTAAGCAGACATTGTGACTGGGTTCCCATCTCGAAGAGGAATATTAAGCTACTTAAAGAAAAAAACCTGCATCAGATCCCTTGCATCCCTTGCACCCCTTGCATCCCCTGCTTACCACTGACCCCACAATTCTTTCACAACGGAGAAGACTGGTGATGGAAAAACAGATCCCAAGCATTCTGGACTCAGAACTTGTGTTGGCCTTTGAAAGAGGGGTTCATTTCTCCTTGATAAATACTGCAGTAAGGCCACAAAATGAAGAGACTCTCTGGAAGTTTTCACAGGCACTAATAAAAAATTCCCAAATGCCGTCCAGCAGGTTTTGACTGCCCCGTTCTTCTCACAGAGACCATCACCTATCCACAGCATGAAATGCTGGACCAGGGTGTCACTGACAAGGTGCTCACTTGTCAGCAGCTGTTTTAGTGGAGCAGAAGCTGAAGGAGATACTGTCAAGCTGTCACATCCAAAACCAAAGGAACACCACTGCCAATCCTATTTCTTCATGTTTCATTTGTACACCGATACACTCAGGAGGAATTCACCCATAGGCTGATAGTTCTGATGAAGCTTTCAGCTGTTCTCTATGCTCTGCCAACACTATCAGTAAGAGTAATGACAACTAACCTCCAAAGGATTTTTTGTTGTTTTAATTTTATTCTTAAACACTGAACCGTAAGTTCTGTCATAACTGAAAATCACTAGACATGAGGAAGCACCAGAAAACTCATTATTTTTGGCTTCTTAGAAGCATTTCAGCTGCTTTTAAGAGTCAAGGAAAGACTTTAAAGGTATAAATTATTGTTCTCCCTTTTCCTGGCAGCACTAAATCTTTTCTATATTATTGAGTAATAAACAGCAGGCGTTATGGCACAGTGTTGAAAATTTAGGCCCTTGTGTCTGGTCACAGAGTCACATGAAGTTGTTTCCATTCCTTGGCTAACCCAGGGGATCAGGTTTCTGAGGTAAGAGATTCAACAAGGCAAGTTTGATTATTTTGCTTTGTTCAGTATGCAAACTTTAAAAAAAAAAAAAAAGTCCTCACAAGCATTCTCACTAGCTGATAAAGCTAAATCACTCATAGAAAGCAAACACAAGTAGTGGTGTAGCCTCAGTGAGAGGAGGGTGAATTCATTTGGTGAATTAGGCTTTATTGGCCTAAGGTCACTGGTCTGTCATGGAGACCCCTCGTCACAGCCACACTAGGACATTTCTTAACCAGATGGAGCAACAGAAGGGCTTTTAAATGTCATTTCTGTGGATTGAGGAAAAAAGGGAAGGCCACAGAAGAGGCTGTAACTGACAGCAGAGGAAGGAGACCCTTTGCAGCAAGACATGGATTTTTCCCAGGCTTAGCAGTACTCCAAGCCCAGAAGCTGTACCCACATCATCAGCTTTAAAACCCCCAACAGGTCTATTCCCAATGAACTGCTCCTGTGACTTTCTTAAATCAATTCTTTTGGCCTCTACAAGATCACCCTGTATCAAGTGCCACGGTCCAGTCTTGCCTTATATAATAAATCACTTTTGTTTGCATTAAGCCTGGCAATTTCAGCAAGTCCTCATGTTATAAGAATGGTGATTCATCTGCTCTTCCTCGTTCACCTTCCCTGTACCATCATTGATTTTACAGAGTTTATCTCATTCCCTCCCAGTCAAGTCTTTGCAAGCTGAAGAGTCCTCAGTGACTCAGACCTTGCTCCTGCCCAACCTGTCCATTCTCCCTCCCATCTGCCATCACTGCCTTGGCCAGTTCTGCCCTGAGCTCTCACTGCTGAGTGCCTGAAGCTGTGCAGGGCACAGAGGGGGCTGTACCATACCATAGCTCTGTCCCTGGGCTGCTTGCAGGTTTTTTTTCTTATCATTGTATTTGTGCTGAGAGGATTTTTCTCAGAAAATTAGCCATGCTGCCTCCAGTATCTTTTACCAATGTAGGCCAAATTATTTGTGAATCTGAAGCTTGGGCAATATTCTTTTTTCTCCATTGCATTTAGTAGGATGAACAGCCTCTGCCTACCTCTAGAAATGAATGCTAAGAACCAATATTACCTACCTGCAAGGCAATTCTTAATGAGTTTCAAATAAAAATACTACCAGGTTTCATAATTTTTACCTTTTCAGTACATAAGAAAAGAACAAAAGTGCAGTCTTTTGGATCTCTGTGTGTTGTGAGGAACAGGAATAACATCCTAGTCCTGTTCCAAAGGCAAAAATACATCTCACTGTATGGAGGGACAAAACAGATATTTTGTGACTGCATCTAAATCCAGAGTGGCTTTCAGCACCCACTCTAAGGCAGTAATGAAGACACGAAGTGATTGTCAGAGACAGCAGTGATTAAACAACAACAAACCAGGGACTAGGTAATCAAGCTGTAACTACTGAAACTACACGGGTGCCACTGCAGCAGTAAAGAGGCAGCCAGGTGGGGTAAAAAGCTGCTGAATCTAAGAGTACCAGAATATCCCTAGTTTGGTTATTATTAGTATCATTATATAAGGAAGTTTACCAAACAGAATTCTCATTTTCAATAGAGTCAGAGCAACTTACCAACTAATACATTAATCTGCTGTCTGCAGTTGTCTCTTAGCATGGGAGTAGTTTTGAATTAATGTATAAAAAACGTGCATTCTTAAAGGACTGACTTATCATCTCAGGAATAAGCTTTAAGACCAGAAAACAAACAATTTAGAATTCTGCTTCAGAGTGAAAAAGGCACCAGAATCAAGCTTTCCTGGGAGGAAAGGAGAATTAAAATTTGCTGTCTGAGCCACACACAGAGATCCGTAAGAAACAAAGCCACATACCAGCCCAGAGCTATGCTGCAAACAACGATGAGCCCACCAGCAGAAAAGGATTTACACCTAGCCGTTCCCTCCTGCCCCATTCCACTCCCAGCAACAATAAAATGCCTGGTGCCAGTTACTGTTCCCTGAATAAACAGCACTGAACACAACCCATCTTTCCCTTGAAACCAATGGTTACAGTGGCTGTTTCAGCTGGGTCGCTTCTCCCCCATTCTGGCATTAAGCACCAACTCTTTCCAGCGGACTCGAAGTCCTTTGCAGCTTCTTTGTATTTAAAGTGCTCTAAATAGCTTAAAAGAGCCTTAAAAAAAAAAAAAAAAAGGAAAAAAAGGAAAAAAAAAAAAAAAGAAAAAGGCTCTTCTGTGTTAAAGCCTTAGGTATTTTCAAGAAAGTGGTTTTGTTAGGGCTGAGTGTGCTAGGAACACCTGTGAATGTTGGGTTTAATTGGGCTGCAGCTGGTGTCGATTGTGTGCACCGTAACTGGCAGCCACTGCCTGGCCCTACATTGTGTTTCATTTTCCTTTTTCCTTCCTTTTTAACTCGCTCCTCCACCCCGCCAGTTAAAGTTGTAAGGGATTGTGTGTGAGAGAGGGATTAGGAGGCTGGAAAGAAGAATAGTGCCCTGCGGGTTGTGAATAGCGCAAATTGGGGCGCTTCCTGATGGAGCAGTACCTGCGAGGCTGAGCACCCGCCGGGCACCTCAAAGGGAGCCGGGACCAGGTCTGGGGACTCGCCTTTCCCGCTCAGCTAGGACGGGATAAAAGCTTCACACGCAGCATTTGAAAAAGACATTAATAACCCCCGGGTCTCGACATCTGTGTCTCACTCGGGTGAATTCCTGCCCTACCCCTGTGCCAGGAGCTGCCCTGTGAGAGCAAAATACTTATCCCCACAAAACAGGGACAGCTGGAAAGCTCTCAGGACCCACCTGAGACTAAAGGAAAAGGTGGGCATGTGTGAGAATCCAGGGCTTCCCTCTGGCTGCCCCAGCAGGTCTGGGACCCTGGCAGAGGTCAGGAACCCCCCTGTACAGAGCCCCGAGAGACACTGTCTGTGATCTCTGTCCATGGAGAGGAGTTTTCAATCTTACAGGATGAATTACTTTGAGTGTTTGA